TCTTTATCAACAACTTGATTGATATGTATGAACATGACCAAATATGATGAAAATGAACATGAGCCAAATATGTTGTTTTTGATAACAATGTGATAATAAATGATAGGCCTGATTTTAAATGTCTTTAATTCCTTCTTAGACATTAATTTACTTAAATTTTACAGTACATGTTTATTTACAGGGTAGGAGAGCAGAGAAAGCATGTAGCTGAAGCTATGTATGAACCGGTTCAATATGGGAGAGAACTGTGACGACAGCCTCTTGACTGCCCAGTAAAACTTCTCTTCGTAGTGGTTGGGTTGGGCTTTTTGATCAGTCTTTTGGTGAAGTCTGCAGAAGCCTCACCAGTCGAAATTGAGTTACTACTAGCTGGTAGAAGAATTGAATTATGGCAGATAGAACTAAAGTTAACCAAAACTCATTGTAAAAAGCATCCGCAACCTTGCTTCGTCAATATAATGAGGAGTTCAAGCAAGTGAAAAAAGAAAACTGTTACGAAGAGAAATCTTATAATGAAATATCAACTTACTGTAATTATTGCGAATTTTGGTGATTAAAACATATGACTATTATTTGTTACTGATATTTTTTCTTTAATAAACATTTTATCATAAATATGCTAAAATAGGTTAATTAGATTCCTTCTTATGCCACGGGAACACAGTTTCTTCTGCATATCAATTACATGTTGCAAACTAGTAACATCCATTGATTGCTATGCAGGTGGTAGTACGGGCCGGTACTTTAATACCGGCCTCTCCGATATTTCTCGGGAAAACGTCAACGAGATTCGAAACAAACTTGTGTCTGAAAACTCCGCCTCCAACTCGTATAAGACGCGGAATACTGTTCTCATCTCTACGCATAGGCCCAATTCCAGTTTCTCCCTCTGGACAACATCCAACGGAGAACGACTTGAACGACTTGAATCGTGGAAAGTCAAAAGATCTCCAATCGGCTTGACGCCTTGGCGTTACCTAGAGATGTAGATTCACTCTGCAATCTCTGTCTCTACGTAATTATCATGGCCGGCCATAACTATCCGTCATCGTTCCACACTCCAGAATTTTCATCCCTATCACTTTAATAATTGGCACTCCACTACCTACTGTGAGCTTTTCAAGACACTTTTTGCCTCTCACTACCAATCTGTGTAACAAGTAATCGTCTGCGGTATTTCCGGACTGATACGTCTTTCAAACCTTCAAGAAAAGAGCTTACTGCTTCCTCAAAGGCCCGGAAACGCGCTTGTGATTCCTGAGTTGCAGACATTCATGGGCGGCGGTACCCACTTTCATAAAAAAATGGAGCGAGACAGTTGAAAATACATTACACACTTAAATGAGATAAAATGTAGACCTCGTGGTATCGTGCAGAACAGTTTATATTTAAATGTGCAAGTAGAGCAGTGAGAATATTTAGTAGATATTTTTTAACTGCAACTGCTACCTGCTACCCACCTTCCCCCTTTTCCTGCATTAGTAATAGTATTCTTTATTGTACATTATACATAGATGTTATTTATAGTTTTCAGTAGTAGTAGTCCGGCTATTTCCCGCCTATTGGGCAAATAATAGATAAAAATATAAAAATGAAGGTACATGCACAATAATAAAATTTGTTAGGTATATTAATATGGATCACATTGTCACAAATTTGAAAACAGACCAGTGGCGGATTAACCCTAAGGCAAAGTAGGCACGTGCCTAGGGGCGCGCGCGAAGATTTTTTTACAAAGATAAAATATATGCCTAACATAAAAAGAACTGTGTTAGTAAGTATGCACATACTTACTTAATACAACAATTCATAAATTTTATAGAGATGCTTAAGGTTGACATCTAGGATTTATATTAGTACCATGATTGCGACCATGAGAGCGCGTGGAACTCCGCCGTGTCCTTCTGTGAACAATTTATGCTTGCGAAGGACGTCGGTGCGGGACCCAGAGAGATTTAGAACTCTCCCGGTCCGCCAGGCCCGGAACGGGCCAGGTACCGCAGGCGCCGGAGATCGCAGAACGACCTCCGTCTTCCATAATCGCAGACCTGGGGGCATAGATTACCTCCCTGGGGGTGACAGGCCTCACGGCCATCTGTCACCTTAGCAGTTAGCACTGTGGAGCGCGCGCGCTCTTAAGGTTGTAGAACAGGAACACCGTGATTCCCACACACGAGGAGGTCATCTACAAGCCGTAGATGCCCCAGGGCTGCAGGGATCCTTCCTTGGGTACAGCTGGTTCCCCGGCTACTGGTATCCGAGACGGCGTGGGGTTCCAGTTGCGGTTTGGTCGATTCATGGTGGTATCCGAGGGGTTACCGCAAAGACAAAAAAAAGGGCACTGTTGCGGTGTTTGACCTGAGGTAAACAATCCTCTTTTATTACTTAATTTCTGTACCGATTCAACAAGGCAACACAAGTTTTAACACGCATTTCTTTCTGCAGGTTAGTCAAATCATGAGGCACCCATATTTCATATTTTTTTATCTTATTGATTTGATGCACATGACTCAATATTAACGTTATACCATGCCCCTAATTCCTGGCCAGCTTGACTCGGATCGGCTTACACCACCTCCTTCAATTCAGCGTTATTCACCTTCTTCCGATCTTCCACGTAGTTCGTTCTTCAAGTCGAAGTTTCGGTGCGTTCATTACTCTCTCGGTCTCTACGTATGCAGTTACGCCTCGGAACTCGTATTCATAAATTACTAGGATTTTAAAAGTATCCATCTTTTACGTATAAGCTGAATAACAAAAACAAACAAAAAAAGAAACTGAGGAATTGAGAACTTTTTGATGTCGGTTAATTAATATTTCAAACAGTAAGTAATGACGACTCCATATATCTTTTAGTATGGGTCTCGTTCTAACGGAGTAGTGTATGCGACATCGAGCTATAGGACACTGTACGCGAGAGTGAGGAGAGCTGGTGCGTGGTAAGTACACACAATTGAAAATAGTTTAATGAAGATCAAATTTGACATAGGTACGACTTTCCATTGACATACGTCGAGTTAGGGCTTCAAAAACGATTGAAATGAGTACAAAATATCATTATTTACGTAAAAAATAAAATGTATTAAAAAAAAAAAATATATTTAAAATAAAATGTTACCAAATTTATGACTTAACCGTAGGTAAAACGCAACGTTCAATGGCGAGAATTCTATAGAATTTGTGGTAGGGACTGACACAAATATTGCAAAAATAACTGATTTCAATATTTTTTCAATAACTACGCGTCTCCGCATGTTGAAACTTTGCGTGTGTGCTTACATGTAACCTTTCTGTAAAGTAATATCAACCCCCAACTCGACGGACGTTAATGGAAAGCTGAGCCTTGACTTGAAAAACAATTCATAATGTCATAAGTTATTTTTACCGAAAATACTCCATCTTTTTTTTGCATTTTATAGTGTAGTTTTTGCATTTTTACTGCACGCTTTAATTTTAACCGAGTTAAGTTGGCGATGTGTTTTTAAGCTGTGATCGTGTATCTTTAGTTTTATTGATCGAAGCTTATAACTTTAATTTGGCACTTACAATATACTATTATTACTTATTAAACATTACTTTTTAGATTTTGTAAATTTACTACTACATATCCACATAACTAACTCTTAACGTCATTCTTATCTATTTGCGGACGATAGATGTACAAATGTTTAAATTGAAAATTGGGTAGGTATATAATAGGTCAATATAATATAACTTGTAAAACCTGTATTGGTATTGGTATTGGTTGTGGGCTTCGGTTTCCGCATTTAGACTCAGAGTGGTCCTTTATGCGTCGAGGATTGGTTGACTAGGTGAGCCAGCCAAGCTCCTTCCAGAAGCGCAGAAGCCTCCTGGGGCGTTCACAGGCTTCTAGGAGCGACTTTATATCAGGAATGATACTTGCCCGTTGTGTGGCCACTCCCTCGTATTCCAGGACTACGTGGACGGCCGTTTCTTCAGCTTCCAGACATCCCCTGCACAGGGGACTGTCCGTCGCATTGATTATGAATAGTTGTCGGTTCAGGGCTAGATGTCCTGTAATAGTTCCGACAACCATTCTGATTTCCGGTCTGCTAAGACTGATCAATCTGCAGGTGAGTCGTGGTGTGACTTGATTCAGCACCAGTTTGGACTGTCTGCAGCCGGGTGAGTTTTTCCACCTCCGGTTGTGTGCTTCACAGGTCCGTTGCCTGACCCAGCATCGTATTTGGTTAAACGATGTGGGCAGGAGTGGGGTTGGGCCAGAGGTTGGGGTTGCCGAGCCCCTCCTTGCCAACACATCTGCGGCATCGTTCCCGTGTGAGTTACTGTGCCCTTTAATCCATTGGAGGAGTACCCCATTGAATATAGCGAGCTGTTCCAGTTCTTGGTGGCATTCGAAGACAATACCAGAGGTCATTGTGTTGCCCTCCAATGCCTTTAAGACGGCCATGCTGTCGGATATTATTCGGATGTTGTAGTCCTTGTGTAAACCCTGTAAAATTGTTGTGTTGTAAAACCTGTAAAATATATTATATTTGCTTGACCACGAAAGTCTCATCTATCTAAATCTTATCGAACATTAATGTATTACTGACGAAATTGTTCATACTCCAGAATTCTTCTTTCTTCTATAAAACTTCTATTGTTAGGTAAGTAGCTACGTGGTTGTGAATATTTGAGTAAAATAATACTAGTTAATGCATTCAAACTTATATTTATTTATGATGATGGTAAGTCTTAGTGTAAACGGGTTCCTATATAACTTACTAAAATATTATGTACAATATTTACACACTTAACCTTTACAACTAAAATATTAGCCTTTCGTTTTAAATAATCTTGTTATATATAATTAAAAATCATGGTATCAGTTGGGAAGTTACATACATTTTATCTATAATTAACTATTGTCTGATAGATGGCGGGCTCCAAGTTTTAATTTCAAGCCAAACGTTTGTCATGTTTATTGATAACACATTGTGAAATATATCAGGCAATCTATCAGGAAATTAAAACGACTACTGTGCAGCCTGGGGAGCCGGATTCCTAGGATTTTGGACAGTTTCGTTCCTGAGACGAATAGTGATGTCCTGAAGTCCCATATTTGGTAATATAAAGTCCTCAATGTTCGCGGCAGTACTGGAAGGTCTGTCAAAGGGGAAGCCCATTGCGCGACGGTCTGGGTACTTCCTGTCCCTCAGACCACAGAAACTAGAAGCTTCCACGCATGTGCTCTCGACGTTTGAATTTTCCTCAAGCTGCAGAATATAACATGAAATTATTAATTACGCAATTAAGCTGTAGGTCTAAAAGAGCAGTTACCTAAATGTATACCCACTCCATATCCAACACACACAGTCCGCAAATAGATAAGAATGACGTTACATTAAGAGTTAGTTTGGTGGAAATATGGTAGTAAGTTTACACAATGTAAAAAGTAATGTTTAATAAGAAGATTGTTCATTTCATGTTTACTTATTGCAATAATAATAAAAGCTTCAAAATACTTACGCTGTCTAACTCATAGTTCGAAAGCATTACGAAAAACTGGTAAGTAGCACCGGCCTCGGTGCCCTTTGGAACTAGCATGTGTTGAGGCCAGCCACATCCGCAGAAATTAAAGGCAGCTAGACCTGGTCTGCGTGCGTCTCCGCTTTGAGCCGATAGGTCACGGAACGTTTGCTCAAATGGAATGGTCACGGAAGACTGGGTAGAAAGTCTAGTGATAGTATTTTCGCCGGCATTCACTGCATATAAAAATATGGATATTAATTTTAAAGAAAAACAAAATAAAATCACAAGTTTTTTTTTATCCCCGCCTTTCAACTTAAAAAACTGAAAATGGGTTGTATTTCAACGTGTCAAGGCTCAGGTATTATCATCACTTCACACAAGGAACGTCGACGAAAAGCATTGAACAATATTGTAGCATCTTCATTTAATAGTTTGTTTCTACTTTGTAAGTAAGGCATGTTCTTACATGGTATTATGAATCTGTCCATTTCAACGAACATCTTTCTTTGATCGGCGAGGGCCCACGCTAAGTTACGTTCATCAAACTTCGGAGCGATGAAGATACGAACAGTAGTGCGACGCGCGGAGCCGGTGTTGTTCACCTTGATACTGAAAATAATTTTATCGTCGTCATATACGTACTTCAGTAAAAAAATATTTAATAAGTTGTAGGTATTTAATTGTTTTTTCAGAAATAATCTAGCCCTTTTAATTTAGCTGTTAGTTCGAGAGATCAAACTTATCATCATCAAAAATCGACAGCTTTCAATAGTAAACTGTTGGACAAAGGTGGCTGGCCAGACGGGTTAGTATAGGGTTTGTTTTCCTTCTCTTTGCAGTGCTGTTGTCCTGCGTAGTTTGCTCCCTTAGTTACGACACAAACGGGATGAATAGGGGTGTTAACACTCGGTATTCTTAATTCGTACAATACACATTACAACTTATATTTAAACTTAGTTCTTAATAATATTAGTATAGATTATTTTAAACCAAAAAACAAATCCAAAAACACTATTTATTAAGCAGCAACCTCACTCGGCACGGCCGTGAACGTAATTCCTTCTAATACCAACGGTTGGTATACGTTGAGTCAATTCAGTAATTTAAAAAAATAATACCATCAATAATAGAATGTAAAAGTTTCAAAGTTGGTATAACAATTAGTTAGTTTTTGAGAGAGTAGAGTAGGTAGGAACTGTGTGATTCCTTTTAATGATATTTTCTGTATAAAAAGCGCCAGTTACTACTTGTTAAGGTATACGTACACATAACGGAATGGCCTGTGGTTAAGGTGGGTAAACCGTGCGTAAACCGGTCCACGTTCGGAGAAGTCCAATCCTCTCGATAGGTCAACGTCGCTGGACATCCAGAACGTGGTCAGAGTATTCGGTTGATTATCGTCGTTTTCAATAGCTATCGATGTAACTCGGACACCGGGGTTTTCAAGCTTGAATAAAGAGATACATTTTAATTTTAAAAATATTATTTTAACGCCATACTTAACGTCGTCAGTAGTCAATTCCAAGCTATGAGAATAATGTTATCTACACCTACAATCAAAATGATGTTAGCTCCATATGCCTTTTGAGTCTAACTCGCGCGTTTTCAAGCGCTTCTCACTCACCTCTGAACGAGTATATGGTCTGACATATGGTGATTCCTTGTGTCTTTGGAAGGTGTCATCGATCCATGCGTGCCAACGGTAGAAGAATGGATCGCGCATAGTTGTGGCTTCGTCAGCAATTACACCGAATGATTCCTGCAAAAGCAAGCGAATGTTAAAAAACGCCGTCCTTCCATGTTTGTATTGCGGAAAGTATTAAGTAAGTAAATAGATTATTGCAGCTTAAAAAACTAACCAGGTATCGGTGTTGAGGGTCGTGCATGTATGCGGAGAAGCTGTGTCCGTTGTTGTGGATGCTGCCGTAGAGCTCTCTGTTTGGTGAAAGAATGCTAGCTTCCAACATATTGCCCAGTGTGTCTATATCTAATGGCCGCGTGCTTCCGTCAGCCTAGATGAAACAAGAAACCTGTTAGTATCTTCTTTTCCAAATATATGCATAAAGCGTTAATTTTTGCGTTGCTGGGCCCGAAGCAAGGAAACTGAAAATACTCACGCCTATATAGTACATTAAAGTTTATTTCTTAAACACGCTGACGGTATTATAATTTTTCTACTCACGTTAGTCACACGGCCTGTAGCAATAGCTTCCTCGATGTTCCTCCTCCAGCGTTCCATATCGTCGATAGTAACGAGTAAACCGTCAACAGGACGATTCAGGTCTTGCCATGACATGTTGGCTTGTCGTGGAGGCCATCCACGGGAAGATGTCAGACTGTCGAGCTTGGGGTAGTATGCCTCTGGGATGGGTTCCCTCCAGTTGCTGAACTTCTTAACTCTCTTCAGAGCATTGTTAAGACGCTCTCCGTTGTAGCTATATTCGAAGTATTATTCATATTAAATTTCACTCTTTCAATTTTTTTAAACAAATAATAGACTAGAACATTAGAATAAGATGTAAGATATAAATATTATTTTAAACAATTTCCATTAGATATTTGTTTGTCATTGAATGAAATCTATCCATTTTAAACTTTTAATTGTCATACGGATACGAAGTTGCCGACACCGTCGAACATTTTTAATTGTGTTATATTTGGATCTCCAACAAGACATGAACCTTACATGCTACTTTCGCAGAAAATTAAATTTTATGTCGTGGAGTGCCTCAATTATAGGAGACCTCAACATGGACATTACAAAAATAGTTAACAACAAGCAGTGGCCACAAATGGCCTTTATAAAAGATTTTTTTTTTTACAATTAATTGTGCAAATAAGTAGTAAATAGTATATATACACATATATATATTATATAAATGGTAGATAGAAGTAGGTGAAAACTTTTTTTTTTAATTTAGTTAGACTATTAGAAAAGATGTATATGTCCCCCGAAGAAGCAGGAATTGTCTTATATTCTGGTGCTTAAATGGTGCTTGCTTCCGTAAATTATGATTGGGATTCTAGTTGGAATATTATACTAATTTTACTGAGGAGGTCTGGAGAGTCAATGTAGTTATGGAACAATTTGTATAGGAATACTAGGTCAGAGATAGTATAATAGGACTTAAGATATACGTTACAAAAGTGTTAGTTCTAACTCCAAAACGGAAAGCTGGATGTCGAATAGTCTCTTTTGGTTTTTTCTATTTTGTTTAGGTATGTGAAATTGGTATATTGGGTTCCATAACGTGCTGCAATATTCTAAATGACCACGTACATAGCTATTATATAAAAGGATCATGGCGGATGGCTATTTAAATTCATTCGAGGAACGTAGTACAAAACCTAAGGCTCGATAATGCTGAGTTTGTAACTGTCCAAATGTATTTCTAAGTCTTAGATACTGGTTACTTTTCTTAATTTGTTTCCTCGAGGAGACAAATTAAAGAAAGTAACCAGTATCTGTGGCCATGTTGTACTCGGGTGGGATTTTGTTTTATGGTGAATTTAATGTGGTAACATTTGGTACAGTTTAAATTCATTTTGTTATTAAGACACCACTGGTTTAAATTATCTAAGTAAACTTACATCTGATTCATTTAAAATTATGCGAGTCAATTTTAAGTCATCTGCGAAAAGATACGGTGTTGAATGCATGAACACTTGCGATATATCATTGATGAATGTATATGTAATGATTACTATTTTTCAATATACATAAATGTAAAAGTTATTTATTGAAAAATAGTGGTCCTAAGTGGAACCGAGTGGCACACCGGATGTAGCAAAATATGGCTGGGACTTGCTGCTATTAACAACAACTGAGGATAGCCTGTTGTTGAATGAAGTTGAATGAAGTTTGAATAATAAAAATTATGGTTAACCTTATCAAAGACCCTGCTATGAAATTAGTACTACCTACACCACACTGTTTATAGATTTGTGGTGATTAATTTTGTTTACCCAGTGTGTGCTTAAATTAACTATAGATACTTTATTTTTAAAAGATCGTAACAAAACTCGATAAAAAATCGTTTCAGACTTTGAGCCTCTGGTAACCTTACTCATGTAACGCTACGAAATGCAACGAAAGAAGAGAATGACAAAGCATGGCTCTCTCATGTTCACACAATATTTAAAAGACTCTACAACCCACAAATTACATATTATGTCTAAATATGTGAGTATTAGTCTTACCGAGCAATCATTTGGCTGTGCATATAGAAGAATAGCTCTCCTCGTCGATCTTTAGCCACGATTTCCCTCTGGCTCGCGGCAAACGGATATACCAAATGCCAGTGCCAGTGGTGAAGATTGATACCCAAGTCTTCGCGCCAATAGGCCAGGCGATGCTCTTCTTCAAGGTCTGTTGCTGTGTAATCTCTTGGAATGATGATTGGCGTACGCTAAAGTTATAAAAATACTTTTAAAACTGTCGTGGAGGGGTCTAGGCATATAAAAGTTGACATCAATTGGAACAGATTATCGTGAAAGTTGTTACTGTCATGAAGTTTGTGCAAAATTAACAAACGTGAATTAAATGACTCAAAATAAAGTTTAAGAAGAAATTATAAGCACTATCTTTGTTTTAAACAACATGAAACTGGTTTGAAAGGAAGTTAATAATTTTATGTATACAAGTTTACGAATTTAAGAGTAGAGGACGATGAAAGAAAAGTTGGATGGACTGCGTGAAAGATTATATGGCTAGAAAGGGAGTAAGCAGAGAACTGACGAGTGATAGAGGAGAATGCAAGAAGAAAACTGACTACGCTGACCCCGATAAACTGATAAATAAAATAAACTGGTTAGAAATGATAACTACTCTAAGATTACACAGCTAAATTATGTCTATTTCTGTCCCCTATTCTGGTATCTAATTTCAACATTAAGTAACTCACTGGCACGTTTCGCGGGAGAACGGCTGCTACTTCACGAGCCTTTTGGAACACTTGCGAGTCCATGAATTTTGCGGGGAAAGACTCTGCAAAGTTCGTGACTGGCACCTGTCTGGTGTCCCTCCTGTAATTAAATTAGTGGTAGGTGAATCGAACGTACTACAAAACTACGTCGGTATTCTTTACTTATTAAAATTATAAAATTCTTTCCTTTGAATTATATGTAGGTAATCGACCGAAGAATTATGTAAAAAATTTTTTAATCAGCGTGAATTAAATGTTTATAGTAAATGTATGGTGAATGTTTCTGAGCTGATGTGTAGGAATATTTTCGAATTTCAACTTACCGATGCATCAAAGCTACCGAAAAGCAGTAGTTGAACAGTTGAGGGTTCAGATTGGATCTGGCAAAGACACATGTTGACAGGAATTGTTGTAGCTCGTTTTCAGGAACATCTGTTCAATTATATGTAACATATATTAAATAGGATAGTTTCTTTGAAAAACTATTAGTGTTCGTTACTGTTTTCAAGTTTCTGATTATTTTTAAATTAGTAAATATATATACCTACAAGTTTCCACAGAATATACCGTTAGGTCGTTTACATAAGAGAAAGTGATTTCACTTGAGAGTGAAATACTGAATTTTGAATACCTATTCAAATTTTCTACACAATTCTATACCGTTTAAGTGATAATACGTTTTTGTTAGTGAACGTTTAGTTTAAAAGAATTACAAATTCTATGTGTTTCTTTTTTGTCTGTAGGTGACAAACAATTAAAATGTTAAAACGTGGGGTAATATTTCTATCCCAAATAGGTATTTCTCATATAGTCCCGAGTTTAGGCGCTCTTTCTGTACGTTGATTCTATGTATATGATTGTAAAGTTCCCGAGAAGGAATCATTCAAGGAATCATTACTAGTGCAGAATTGTTTAAAAAAAAATAGGTAGGTATATACTTTTGTCTTGAAATCCTTTTGAATTACCACTCGGTTTTAAATATAGATAATTAAAGCAATTGATAGTTCAATTCTTAGAAAGGGATGTACTACTTATATAGGTGCTTATACACAGGTACTTTTTATCATCTACCTACAGGTACTTTGTATCAACAGTTACAAAAACGGTAGTTAGTAAGCCCTTAGGAGCGAAGCAGTGACTATAAACGAGGTTGAAACTGGTGACAGGTGTTACAACACTTACTCATAAGTACATCAATGACCTCAGTGGCCATCTCCTGGTGTTTCGGCAAGAAAAGCGAAAAATCCGAATCGACAGGCAGTTGCGTCGCAGTTTTGAAGTTCACTTTACGTTTTAAGTTTTCGATCGGGATCTTTCTTGAGATGTCTACGTCGTCACCGAAACGGTTATTCAATTCGACGCCATTGTTCTCGTATCCCGGAGGCTATAATTTTTTTGAAAAGGGTGGTTAGTGTTATAGATATTGTATTGTAGCGCATTTACGAAATCTTTTACACATACAAACAAAACATCTACGCACATTGAGTACATAATTTTTTTTTTTCGTAAATATTAGATCTCTAGATAGTAAGTATCCTGAATGCATCTGCATGTTGTTCTTTTTTTTAAATAGACGTCTAAATATATATTCTGCAATAAACTTACCAAAAACTCTTCTGTAAGTTCGAATAGAGCCTTGTCATCTCCTTTCGGAGTTATCATAGGCTCATTGGGTCGATCGAAAAGCAACGGCAAGTTTAATAAGACGCCTTCCATTTTAGTTTTGGCAAAACTAAGTTAAGTAAATAATAAACTTTACACACCTCACTTCACAGTAACTGTGAAGTGGAATGATTTGTTCCATCATTGAAATTTCTTTTATACTCTTATATTACGCACGGTGTGCACTCTACACAGAGTGCAAAGCCACACCACGGGAACTGATAAAAACTGTGGGAATGTGTGTTGTTATCGGTGTGGTATACAAAAAATATTTGTCAACAGAAGAACTGATAATAGAAATAATACATATAAATGATTATTTAACTCGGCCCATTGGCGGTCTCGTGAACCCGGGCAATGTCATTAGGTCTGCCAGGCTTCTCGAGGATTTCCTGGTTAAATTATACCCAAGGCCTTGCAGTAGATCCAGCTATGGCGGAACACGGTCTAGAGTACGTAGTCGTACAAAATCTAGGAGAAGGCAATTGCCATCACATGCCCATGGGTAGGTACGATCATCGACCAAAATAATTAACGTTACCCAAGGTCAGGTTTTCAGGGCCTGACAAAGGGGGTCATTCATTCATGCTTCAATAACTTGTGAAAGCTTAACAATCAGTGGATACCAACAGAAATGCATGTTCTTTTACTCCTAATTATTTTAACTTGTATCCTTAGGATGGTTGCAGAAGGAAACCTTGATTTAATTACGTTTCTCATTAAAACTTAATACGCCTGTATTAAAACGCATTAAACTTACACACTTTCTTTGAATATAATACAACGAAACATACATATCATCCGTATCTATGTGTATATACATTTAATATTTTATAAAATACGGTTAAAAATTAAAACCTTAATACCTCCAAATGTACCTACATTTATACATAATTTATGTTCCTTTAAAAATCTACTACGTGTATGTACACTTTCTTATAAATAAATAAACAAAGGACTGAAATGAAATACTTAAGTAAGTAAAATGAGAAGTAAGTAAATTCAACAAAATCTACTTTACGAGTTACTAAATATCACGCGGAATGGATCATACTTCGCAATAATAACTATTCCAACAGTTACTAGAGTATCTGAGTATAGGATATGAGAGCAGATGCGTGCACTCCACCGACATCAAATATAAATGTTTTGAGGGACACGAAGGTGATGATGATGATGAGGTGCCTCATAATTTCAACAACAACATGCGATGCGCGTTAAGACATTTGAAACCAACGAACATTTGAAACATACCTACTATCGGTCCGCCGGTGGCCTGTGTTGCTCTATGGTTTGAAAAACTAGGTTGACTAATACAATTTACAGGTAGTATTTATCCAGTAGAAGCTTAGTCCTACTCTTTATTGCTGCTGCCACTGATCTCTATTATACAACTTCTTTATCTTTACATGGTATAAAATTAAGTCGCTTTTTTTTTCATGTAGGCTTAGATCTTTCGAACAACGCAAAGGATTTTAATGAGGTTTTCAACAATAGAAAGAGTGAATCAAGAGGCGGATTTATATGTTTAATTCATTCATATCGTAGAAGAGAAAATTCGAGAATTTCAAAGATTTGTAATGTAAAGTCGTAAAAACCATGTTTTTGATTGAAACCTTATGAAATTGACATTGAAACCTTATGAAATAGATCAAAATAATTAAAAAGATCTACAAAAAAGTCCGCGATGGTATATGTCTATCTCCTAAGGATAAGCCAGTAACCATTTTTATCTTTTACAGATTACAAAAAATAATATAATTTACGAAGCTCTTTTGAACAATAAATAAAAGCATATCATTAAAATGAATATCTTAGTAGATTTCAGATATTTAAATTGCGATGGCGTACCGGGTAGTAGCGGCTGGCAGAAGCGGAACGACTCCATAAATATCTATTGGTACTAACATTATTTCTTTTAGTGTTGGTTAGTTGGCTTCCATTAATTACGTGAGGCGTTCAGGGGGGAGGGGGGGAAAGCGTCTAGCTGAATCTAATCTAATCTTACTTTGGGGAGAGGGGTTCTTGGCAAATTTCACGTTATTTTTTGTCCGCAAGAAACTGAGTAAAATTGAGAAAACTGGTTTAAATGAGGTAAAACATTTTCCTGCACGGAAATATGGCCAATTCTTTTACAATAATATTTATCATGCTATTGCGAGTGCCGCGAATTTGCACAGTAGCCCGTCATTTGTTACTGTGCCACCTTGGCCTTTACACCTTCATTATACTAAAAACACATTTAAAAAAATCTCAAGTGAGATTGAGGGAAGGGAGGGGATTAAATCAAATCGCACGACATCTCACCAGGGGGGGAAGAGGAGTTAGAAAAAACGTAATTAATGGACGCCCTCTTAGTCGTTTTATCGAGGCAGGATATAGGTTAATAGATAGAAAGCTGGTCGACGCTGCGTCTGCCCTTGGGCGACTTCTACCCAATCTGGGTGGACCCAGCGTCGCAACGAGACGGCTGTACACGGGGGTTGTCCGGTCAATGGCACTGTATGGTGCACCGGTGTGGGCGGCGGCTCTGACCGCTTAGAATAGGGCACGCCTCTGGCGCCTTCAGAGGATATTGCCGGTTAGAGCCATACGCGGTTACCGCACCGTTTCGACGGAAGCGGCGTGCGCGTTGGCCGGTACTCCCCCGTGGGACTTGGAGGCGAAAGTGCTCGCCGAAGTATATCGGCGGACGGCTGGTTTCCGGGCGGATAGTGGCAATCGGCCCCCGCCCGAAGAGATAAGCGAGTGGCGTGAGGCCGCTCGCAGAGCCACGATGGCCCGTTGGTCGTCCCGGCTGGAGGCTCCACGTGCTGGCTTTGCCGCCGTGGAGGCGCTCCAGCCGGTCATCGTCGAGTGGGCAGGGCGGCAGCACGGGAACCTTTCCTTCCGGCTGACGCAGGTCCTTTCCGGGAATGGCTGCTTCGGGAAGTACCTGCACTCGGTCGCTAGGAGTAAATTGAGTCCCGCCTGTCACCACTGCGATTGCAGTGAGGACTCGGCTCAGCACACGCTGGCAATTTGCCCGGCTTGGGCGCCGCAGTGCCGGGTCCTCATTGCAGTCATTGGGGGGATCTCTCGCTACCGGTCGTCATACGCTCCATGGCCGGTAGCGACAGATGTTTTACCGCGGCCGCATCCTTCTGCGAAGATGACATCTCGCAGAAGGAGGCGGCGAAGGGGGCCCGGGAGGACAGCCTCCACTCGGACCCAATCCGTCGCAGGGGAAACCGGGCGGTGGAGGCGCGCTTATCACCGCCGCCCTGAGTGTGGCCGCGGGTGGACGGGACGGGTTTTCCCCTCCACCTGAAATAACGGCCAGCCGCGAGGAGGCGACGTCCGCGAGAGAATGTACCTGAAGGTGGTGCCCGCACCGTTGCGGGCAGGCGCTAGGAGGGATCCGGAGGTCCTAATAACAGCAGTTCCCGGATCCCTCCTATTACAGGCGCAGAGTGGCACACCGTGTGGTTTTAGTCGGTCCGATTCCGACACACCAGCCCGCCGTAAACCCCGGTGGGGTGACGACTCGAGGGGGTTACCACACGTTAAAAAAAAAAAAATTGTGTACAATAAGGGTCAGTACTGCTAACTCTAAATTAGTCAAAATATTGAGTATCTGTGCTTGTCCTTAATATGTCATGGTAGAAATTAAAAAATTATGTCAATATGTCAAAATATTAAACTTCAAAATTTACAAAATATTATTATCTATAATAAAAATGATACTCAATCGAATACCACCAAAAATATTGTGTCGTTGTTTAAATATCAATTCTAGAGCTACACAAAATATTACCCATATTGCGCTTAGACCTATTACCTATACTTCAGAAAATGCAGAAGCTGTGGACTTGGCTTATGCTTCTTACGAAAGTACGGGTGAAGTAGAGCATACTATGCCTCCTCTTGTTATATTACATGGTTTGCTGGGCTCTAAAAATAATTGGAATAGTATGAGCAAGGCTATCCACAGGACGACAGGTAGGAAGGTGATCAGTGTTGATGCTCGGAATCACGGTGATAGTAAGCATTCTTTACAACATACTTACATACACATGGCGCACGATGTGATCAAGCTGCTAAAAAAGTTGGAGCTTACAAAGGTGTCGATAATGGGCCATAGTATGGGTGGACGCACTGCCATGGTATTGTCACTACTCTGTGTAAGTTGTACGTAGTTTTTCTGATGAGTTTTCAAAATAGAAATTGTACTATTTACGTTTCGAAGTACGACTATTGATTAATACTTTGCATTTGTTATATACAGATTGAACATAGAGGATAATGGGGACATAATATAATAATGTAATTGAAGTAATTGTATTCTCTACTAGTTTTGAAAATTTATATAGGTAGGGTATTGTCCTATTATGGCACGAGTCTCATACATATTGTATATGGAACCACTATAAGAAGAACATGCACAACTTGTGTTATCAGTAATCTCTTAATATTATGCAGTTAAGAGGGATTTTTATTTGAATGTTTGTTTCTTTAATCTTACTAAACACTAAAAGATAGAATATATTGAGAAAGCTGTACCTAGTATATTTTACATGAAATAAATATTAATATTCTCATAATATATAAAATATGAGTACTCTATAAGAACCCTGTTGTGCAGAAATATGTCAATCCTGAAACTGGTCAAATTAATAAAAACATTTTTATCTTGGGTAAATACTTATTTAAATAGCTGATAAAAAAGGATTTCTTTTCATTACTTTTTCTAAAATTCATTTTCTAAAATAAGATGTAAGTATATATTATTTTTTTACGGATTTGCATTAATGCTTTAATTTTAGCCAGTTTCTGTACAACACCGTCTATAAATCTTTGATCAATTATGATTATAGGACGTATTAATCCACCATTAAATTTTCTTTACAGTCTGACATGGTATCTAGCCTCGTTGTGGTTGACATATCACCGATAAAAACAAGTCCACAAATCTACTCTATGGCCAATTTGTTTGATGCTATGAGTTCAGTTGCGATCCGACCCGGGATAGCTATGTCTAAAGCTAGGAAGTTAGCAGATGAACAGCTGAAAAGCATAACACCAGATTTAAATTTAAGAAATTTCTTGATTACTAATTTAGTACAGACTAACACAGGATCTTATACTTGGAGAGTAAATATAGGAGCATTAAAGGATAATTTCCAATCGCACATATCATGTTTTCCTTCAAATTTGAGAGGACTTCAGTATGCTGGGCCTACTTTGTTTGTGGGCGGATCCTTATCTGACTATATAGGGTATGTTTTAAGTATTATTTTCTTAACTACATAACAAAATAACATAGCCTCATGGCAAACAGTTATAGGTATCTATGAACACTCCAACATGGGTGCCTCTTGCCCTTTGCAAATTTCAACTAACTTCAAGTAAACTATACATGGTACATATTCAATTGAATTTAAATACCAGCTCCTCTCTCTGGACCGTATCCAAAGAAGAGTGACTCGAATTGTCGATAGCCAAAAGATCTCTGACCGTCTCGATCCTTTGACGTTACATAGAGATGTAGCTTCCTTCTGCATTGTCTATCTTATATTTCATGGAGAGTGTTCAGAGGAATTGTTTGGACTAATACCGGCCGGAAAAATTTTCACCCCCACCACTTAGATAATGGGCACTCCACTACTGTGCGCTTTTTAAGACACTTTTTGCCTCGCACTACCAACCTGTTGAACAGGTTATCGTCTGCAGTATTTCCGGACCGAGACGACCTTTAAACCTTTAAGTATTCCTTTCTCAAAGGCTCCTGAGTTACTGCGTTCATGGGCGGCGGTAATCGCTTTTCATCAGGTGACCCATCTGCTCGCTTGCGACCCTTTCCATAAAAAAAACTTATTTTTTAAAAGAATTGGTTGTACTCAAAATCCTAATTCAATTTGAAGACAATTTTCGATCATGAACCATACATCTTATTACTAATTATTAATAAACTAATTTACCATGAATTAAGCATATTCTGTAAGGATGGCTGTCGAGAGATAAATTCTAGTAAAAATAAATAGAAAAAATATTTAGTAAATACAGTACTTTTATCTATCTAACTTTCTTTTGTCTGCTACACTACAATTGAAGTGGGTGATAGTTTTTGTAAAAGTAATGATATGGTGGTAGTAGCAGCGCATAGAGAAATGTTTGTGTATAGAAAATATGAAAGTTTCAATGTAAATAAACAAAAATTTTTAACAAAAAAAAACCGACTTCAAAGAACACTATTCCAAAACAAATTAATATAGTGCATATTAATTTGTTTCCAAGTCGGTGTCACCTACACCTTATAAGTGAGAAGTGCTTGTGTCGCACGCGCGAGTTGACGAGTCTTAAAGTATTCTCGTATTATTATTGCTAGGTATATCGTAGTGTTTCCTTGGCTGACACCGACTCCAAAAATAACAATAATTGTAACTACATTATATTCATTTTATTTTACTTAGGAGAACTCAAATAAATATTTTGATCGTTGTTTGTTATTCACAGGTATATGTTAAATTAGATTTGAAATGGGTAGGTACCTACCTACCTTCTTGCGCGGTTAACACATAGATCGTACTTACATATAGATGAGTAGAAAAAGTAAGTTGATTATTAAGTTGTAGAAGAATATACATTTATTTTTTTCCTTTTTAGTGCATATTAATTTGTTTTGGAATAGGGTTCTTTGAAGTCGGTTTTTTTTTGTTAAAAATTTTTGTTTATTTTTTGCTTTTTAGTGAATCTGAAGTACACTTACTAATTTATCTGAATATGGGTAGACCTAATAAACGTGCTGCTCAAATGAGACAGCGCCGTTTGAATGAAACAAAGGGAGTCAGGAAGAAACGCCTATCTCAACAGAGGCAATCTACCCTGTGATGACGGATTAAGAATACAGAATGTCACCACCCCTTTTAATCACATGGGTGTCGTAAGAGTCTAGTGAGGGAGCAAACTACGCAGGACAACAGCACTGCAAAGAAAAGGAAAACTTGAAATAAACCCTATACCAACGCGTCTGGCCAGCGTGGTATAGTAGGCCAAAACCTCTTTTCTAAGGAGAGGCCTATGTCCAGCAGTAGCTTATTAAAGGCTGTTGATGACGACAATTACTTGACCATAACGACGTTACTGTAGGTGACTCAAATATCCAGATAGCCCATAAAAGATTCAGCCGAGTATCGTTAATTTACTCCTAAGAATTGAATAGTTCCGTTACTTTGTCGTGGATCCCATCATCAGAATCTAACCAAACTCTCATCAAAGTACCCTTAAAGTACATCCATTCCAATAAAAAAAGAATTATCGAAATCGGTTCGCGTGAAATTGAGTTATTCGTCTATTTGTCGCGAACATACTAAATGCAAATGTAAGACTTATATGGTTTTCTCATGGATGCCATTATCAGAACTAAACCAAATTGAAATGGGACCACACGGGAAGCACCAGCTTTCAAATAAAAAAAGAATCATCAAAATCGGTTCACCTAGTCAAAAGTTCTGAGCTAACAAACATAAAAAAAAAAAAAAAAAATACAGTCGAATTGAGAACCTCCTCCTTTTTTGAAGTCGGTTAAAAACAGCTTTTGTTAATAATTTGTCAATGTTATCTTTGCTCTTTCAGAAAAAATGACCTAAAAGAAATACAAGACTACTTTCCACTAGCTGAGTTGGTGTTCATTGAAGGAGCTGGACATTGGGTACACAGTCAGAAACCAGAAAAATTCTTAGAAATAGTCTGCAAATTTTTAAAAGAAAAATAAAAATTGTAAAGGAAATTATTGGCCCATAATGATTGGATACTCATTTTAAAAGTTGTGATGTTAATAGTGTAATTGTTATTTATTTTAGACTTCAATTAGGAGAAATTAAACTGTAAAACGGTGTTCTGTAATTATTTCTTAACAATTCAAGTCCTCTAACTATCACCCTTCCAATATTTAATATCACTTACCAGTATTTATTAGCACCAATAAAGTACCTGAACTAGGAAAACCTAATATTTCATTGTTTTTAAATTAATTAGTTTTGATAAAAATAATGCTAAAGATTACATGTTTTAAAACCTTAAGCAAAACAAACACGAGGGAGTGCTCTGAATGCTTGGTAACACTTGGGGTTCTTGAGTTACAGGTATATCTATGGGTGGCATCAGTCACTTTCTACCAAGTGGTTCTTGAGTTACAGGTATCTATGGGTGGCATCAGTCACTTACTACCAAGTGGTTCTTGAGTTACAGGTATCTATGGGTGGCATCAGTCACTTTCTACCAAGTGGTTCTTGAGTTACAGGTATCTATGGGTGGCATCAGTCACTTACTACCAAGTAAAGAGCCTACTCGTTTGCCACTTAGATCATAAAAAACGATGATATATGTATCTAAACGTCATAGCTAAATTCCTAATCTCAAAGGCGTATAAAACGCTCACATTTTGCAGAATATGATTTTAGTCCTCAACTCGGTTCTAATAATTATAGATGTGGCAAATTAGGAGGATACTGAAAAAGGAAGAAAATTTATATCAAGGGATATCCCTTACATGGGGGAAGTGTACGTAAAGGCTTGCGCAGGTCGCATATTTAAAATTTGCTGTTGCCCGAATTCTAGGATCTTACTGAATAAATAGGGCTCTTTAGAGCTGAGCTAAACACGGCTTATGTTAAGAGCTCTAGGAGAACGTATTAACATACGATACATTGTTTTACCGATAAGTATAGTGTTAAGGTGTGTGATTCTACAATAAAATTCCAAGCATACCTCAGCCTATGCTTGTCCACTGCTGGACATAGGCCTCTCCCAATGATTTCCAGCGGGGACGGTTGATTGCGGCCTGCATCCAACGGTTTCCGGCAACCTTTACCAGAAAATAAAAAATAATACCTTTAAAATTCCAAGCAAATTTCCTGAAGTAAGTACTAACAAATTTAGGTCTGTAGTAAAACAAAAACTATGTGAAAAGGTTTACTACACGGTTACACATTATTTAAATGACAAATTTGCTTGGGATTGGTGCTGCTTACGCCCGCATTTACTATCATTGTTGTAATGCTTGAAAGTGATGGACATTTATTGTATTGTTGTATTTTATATTTCGTTTGTTTTCAATTTGTTATTTTTTTTAAATTATAGTATAGTATTATAATATATTTTAATTATATAGTATGTTTTTTTTTGTAAGTATGTAAATGTGAGTATAGTGTAGGCTTGTATTGTTAGTTGATATTTAGTAACTTTCTGGTGGTTTTGAGCGTTTCCTCGGTCTACTCAAATGTTCTGCTGGCTATAGTGTCGCGCTTCGGATCGTTGATCTTGACTTATATCGGTTAGGCTACACGATGGCCGGGGCTCGTATGCCGTCTGTATGGAGAGGCCGACTCAAAAGGCCTACTCAGACCCTACACTGTACTCGCAGTTTTCTTTAACTTTGTTTACGGACTAAAAAAAAGACACCTCTGTATTTGGTTTCGGCGTTTCTTCCAGAGTGAGTCTTAGGAAATGCCGGCTCCATCTAGCTGTAAAGTCCTACTTGTAAAAATATCTGAAAAGATTTACTTACAGAAATAAATATGATTTCATTTCAGTACATTTATCATCACGTATATTGCCCATTATGTATATTTAATAAGAAAGAAATTAGGTACGTCAACCGTGGTGACACTGTGACGTGTGTGAGCTACATATACCACGAAATCAAATTACGGATGTGGTTGTTTGAACAGAGATATTTCAGTAGGTATGTAGGTTTCGGTGTGTATTTACTATGCTGTGATAACATAAGTATACAAAGACGTATGATAAATTAACTAACCATGTCTATAACCGAAGGAGGGCACAGCAGATTTCTGTTCAATTTGAAACCGACCAACTGGTAGATCATTTCCCTATAGAAGATAGCATAGCACATTTGTGTATGTTAGTTCTATGCGTCATTAATTAGAATTACAAATTTAAATAAATGACTTTTATATTTAATATCAAATAGATTTTTAAGGTTTTTAGAAAGATTTTAATGCACCTAAATCAAGATAAATTGTATTATTTATCCCTTTATTTTTCAAGCTTAGAAAACTTTTTTTATAATGGCATTTTTTTTATCCAGAATCAATTAAGTTAAATACAGAACTATTAAAATCCGTAAAAGAGCACATTACCAAACTTAAAAAAAATGCCTGGTGAAGACAGCTGTTATAGTTTCCTATTAAGAGCCTAGGCTGTAAAGAACATTCAGCTATAAGGTTTCCAACTGGACTAACTCGTTATTAGCGAGGCTACTCCTAGTGGTGAGCAGTTGGTTAGCTCAGTCAGTCAAGTGGCAACTCTTATGTATTCAAAATTTTTAACCAATAATCTTATACGAGTATTTACTCACAATGTAGTGAACTTATAATGCTTATAAGTTCACTTCTTCAACAGCATTTTTTTTTTAAATTCAATTACTTTATTTCGTGAAATTGGATGGCTCCTCCCTTCGGTGTGTAACATCTTTAATCTGTGGAAGTGATTTCGTAAAAAGGGACGGCAGTGTGTCACAGAAAGGCGGGGAAGTTTTTGATTTCATCGATGAGCGCGCTCAGTGCTGATGTGATGTCAGATGTTACACATAATTTGCCACTACTGTAAAGCATTTTATATTTTCTCTTACAGAGCTGGCGATTTAAATTATGTCCGAGCATTATTTCCGAGTGCAGTAATTAGATACCTCCTTAAAAAATGCACTATGTTTAGGTGAAAGACCCGTTCAACACTATCTCAAGACACAAACAGTCGCATGCAGCCTATGATTTTTTGTAGGGATATTAATAGTAATGGTAACATTTTTAGATGAAACGAATAGCAGTAACGGCTGCATATCCGGCTTTTAGATAAGGATGGGCCTTATCTCCAGCAGAATTTTGTCGATTGCCTTTGATGTAAGTAATGCCACCCGCATTACCTACCTTAATAGGTTTATATTACTACCCAATGGTTTTACTGATTCCTAATTGCCGATGTATACGTAGGTACCTGAACAGTTTGTCGGGGCACCAGGGACTTCCTTTCTAGGGTATACCTGGTTCCCCGGCTATTAGTACCCGGCGAAGGCGTGCGGTTTTAGTCGGTTCGAGTCCGACATGCCACCGACAGGTGGTATCCGAGGGGATATCCGCACGGGAAAAAAAAAAAAAAAAAAAGGTAGGTACCTGAACAGAAAGGCAGATGCATATGAAACGCCGACATTTTGCTGATAAAATTGTGATTTGGTTCTACTCACGGTGCTGTGCCCGGAAATGCATCAGTCGGAAGAAAAGGGTCCCGTGATGCCGCCCTGCCAACTCGAAGATGACCGGCTGGAGCGCATCGGGCAGCAAAGCCAGTATGTGGAGCCTCCAACCGGGACAACCGACAAGCCATCGTGGCTCGGCGCTGTGATGTACAAATCCGGCACTGGTCCACCAGACAGTCACCATGATCTTTTAATGGGTAATCTTTTTTTAGCGCACTGATTAGGTGCTGTACCCGGGCCACCCACTGAGACGAACGCTTAAGGTTGTCGTCCAAGATTCACTTTTCATCGCAGGTGACAATTCGATTCAGAATTCGTTCGTTTCTATGCCGACAAGTCTCACTGATGGTCGTTTAGTTCGTGTGGCATCTACTTATCTAGCTTTTTAACCGCCTTCAAAAAAAGGAGGAGGTTCTCAATTCGACTGTATTTTTTTTTTTTATCTTTCCGATTGGACGCAAGTGTTTCAATGTTGTTTTGAAACTAACTCCAAAGCTCGCAGCAAGCTCAGCCGTGGATTGAGTTGGATCCGCTTCCAATAAAAATCTACAACTTCATAGGTAGTATTACTTCGGCGAGCACTTCCGCCTCCAAATCGCACGGGGGTGTTTCGACCAACGTGCACGCCGCCTCCGTCGACACAGTCCAGGGCCACCCATAAGCCCAGCGTCCTCAATGACACCTACACCAAAGACACCCCTAGTGGTCAGGCGCGCCGCCTCTTGAAAGTTCACCTCACGGGCTGTAATGAAGGTGTCGTCGGCGTAACTGATTACGGGTGTACAGGCCCGGGGGGAAGTTGCCTCTAAGGGCCCGGTCGTACCCTATGTCTCACAGAAGGGGCCCAAGACCAGAGCCCTCTGGAGCACTGCACGACCTGGGCCGACGTCTCAAACTTGAAACAAATCCTCTCTCTCGTCTGGCCAGCGTAGTATAGCAGGCAAACCTCCTTTCTAAGGAGAGGCCTATGTTCAGCAGTGGACTATTATAGGCTGTTGATGATGATGATGAATACCATAAACTAGATAACCTAAAACAATCCAAGAGCCCCTTTATAGAATGTGCTACAGGCCTCGCGCTGGCTTAATCCGGCACTGGCAATGTAGATACTACTAACATATATAAAACACTATAAATCCAAGAACTACTAACACCACTAATGTAGTGTCAGTGTGGTTTTGGTTTTGGTGTGTGGTTTCAGTGTGGAGTAATTCATTATACTATTGTTATGATAACACTATACTAGAGGACATCTTTATATGCAATATTTTAGGCCCGCTCCGATTCTGTCAGCCGCTGCCACACGGGACGGACGTGCAGCCCGACGCGGCAACGGCTGCTTTTCCCCGCATTTTAAGTCTATAACACCTACTAAGATATACCGTTTAATGATATGCTGTAATAGGCAATTTTGATCTAAATTAAATGCACAAAGTATCTAACGTATTTATTTGGATAACGAATAATACTGTATCGTTCATATTAGCTCATTATTTTTTGGTAATATTTAAAAGATAAAAATGGTAACTGTGGGTTATCCACAGTGGGTATGTGGGTTAAGAGATAGACATACACCATCCCCGACTTTTACATTATTTTGATCTATTTAGTAAGGTTTAGCCAGCGTATGCAATGTAAGTGCACAAAAACATGTTTTTATAATATAATTAATTATGGTTTAGGCGTGAAGGCGTAACAAACAAACTCACTTTAACAGTTATAATATAATCCATTTGTATATTGTCTACTGTATATTTTTTAAATCTAATTAAAACAGTAGATATAGATAACCACATGCAGTCACTGCTACAACAGATAGCTTGTTGCGGAAATGGAAGCAAAATTGTCGAGGAAGAGAATAAAACTGAATAATAGATTTTTTACAAATGTATTGATTTTATTTTAACAAATAAGTTATTAATTTTATTCAGCTACACATAATACTATTTACAATAGTTGTATTTACATTATGTGGTGTTCAATGAATACCAGCTCCTACCTATTAAGTAGATAGTTAATTAACTAAACTGTAACCCTTTTATTAAGCCCCTTTTTTGCGACCAACTAACTTGACGAAAATATCACATCACGAACAGTGCGCAAATTCAAATTAATTTCGAAAATATCATTTTCGACTGTATCAGACCTTTCACTATTACAAAGCAGCAAAGCACTATATTATTCTTTTTTTCGTTTTCTTTATTCTTTAGGTATGCACTACCAAATTTTACTAAACCTCAAAAATAGCTGCGACATGGGGAATACATAGCATAAAAGTGCTTAATTTTTTTATTTATTGGTGATATTTCATTATATTGTAAAAAAAAATACATTTGTGCTTATTACATATTATTGTCATAAGTACCTAAATGAAACAAATATTGAAGTGAATCAATAATCTTAAAATAATTAAATATGAGCTTTACGATAAACATGTCATTGTTTAACAAGTCTGAACACATTTCAAATTTTAGAACACTGGACAGAACTGTGCACTTGGCATATACCTATGTAGACCCATGAGTATGCCATAGTCAAATAACATATCCCTATTATTTCTCTTAGTTTTTAGCACCACAACAGCTATCACATTTTTTATCAGTACCCGAACATAAAACAGGCTTATAATTAGGTGTCCAAGGGCCTAAACTATCATTTGAATAGAAATCCATTGGATAAGTACCATCTTCTTTCAACCATTTACTATTCCCTAATGACACAGAAAACTCATAAGGAGTCAACAATGGTTGGGAAAAAGCTACCCCCCAATCAATAGACAATCTTGGACATGCTACTTGAACAAATGCATCAAGTCCAAACAACATTAATTTGCTAGGAAAAATTTCTGACAGAAGTATTTTGACAAATGTTTTATCAGAATTACGAATTTGCTTTTCTAAATTACTTAAAACCTTAGTGCTGCCTTGTCTTCCCAATGTGCCAAGAATGAGACCAAACCGGGCAGCATCTTTGGCTACAGATATTTGATTATTTCTGTTAGACTGCATTAACTGGTGTTCATACAGTTCTGTAGTAAATTTCTTTTCGTAAGGATCATATTTATAAGCTGGTATGTTGGGGTTAGCTATCATTATGGCTTCCAAGTGAAACCTACCATCACCAAGGTATATAATAGCTCCAGCATCTAATTTAGGGGCTGTACAGCCAAGAATTTCACCTGGGGATAAGGGTTTTGATTGCGGCACAGTTACAATATAATCTTCACTTCTCAGATGTTTAGCAACTGAATGCAATGTTGTAACAAATTGAATAGTACTTACTAATGCTATATGACTATGTTTTGGAAAGTTTAGTTTAATTGTCTCTACAAAGTGCGAAGGGTCAATTTTGATATCTACAAATATATAAAGAACTTTTATATCACTGGTTTGATCTATGGGTATTAGACAGGAATGGCCATAGTGTACAAGTAAATCTACACCCAGCGCTATGGCAGTGAAGTCATCAATGCAGCAAGCACCGTAAGTCACGTCTCCCATTATAACAGTGTCCGCATCAGTAAATGTTTCTATTATATCACACAATGTAGTTGCAAACATTGTCAGACCTGGAAAAGATGTAAAAATATATATATTAGTAAAATTAATGCACAAGTTTATTATATTATAAAAAAAAGGTGCTTTCCAGTTGAAAAAATTTCATCTATTATTTAAATAGTTGAAAAAAGAAGGATAGGCTTTTATTTAATTGAACTATTTATAAATTACCTTCAGGCATTTGTAGAGCCACACGTTTCGCATCTAATGACCTTATTCTCCATATTGTCTTATGTATTTCAAAGTTATAATTTTGTGGCAAAGATTCACAAGCTCTATTCAGCAAGGGGTCGTTTAATAACTCATTAGGGATTTTATTAACTGCACGAATATTCGGTTTAAATGTCTTCCGCTGTCCTTCTGGCTTGGCGCGTACTACAACAACTCCCGGGTTGTAGTTGAAGTCTTCCATTTTTTAAATATTATAAAGTCATTATTTAATTCAGATAACGTTTGCAATTAATACATAAACATAAAACCGCAGGTTACTTTTTGATCAAAATATAAACACGCGCGTTGGCCTACGTGACTTTTCGCCAGTAATTACGTTTCAATTCTCTTTTTAACTCAAAGAGTTTTATTAAGAAAACCAAATCTTGTTATTATTTTTAAATATTCTTTCAAAATCCAATTAGCTTTCTAAAAAAGATGATATTCTCATTTCAACAAATTATTCTCAAAAATAATTTCTTTCTATTATCTCAACATTTGTCTAGACACTAATTGTATATATTGCGTGTAAAGAAAAATTATTTAACTAAATGCTTTTTTGGTTTGTCAGTTGTCTATAGAAGTACAGAGGGTAGAGAGTAGATAGTAGAGAGCAACAAAGTGTTCTATGGTAGATTGGCAAGAATTATGGAAGATAGAGGTAAGGATAACGGACTCATAAGGGAGCAAAGTTGAAAAAGTGTCCAGTTTTATACAGTAAATAATAGTTCTAAAACTGGTCAATTGGCTGCATTAGCGTTATTTTGGTCAGAATAGCGCTAGTGCAGTGCACGGGAATGATATGAAAATAGCAGTTACAGATGGAATGAATTTTGTTGTGTGATAACATAATAATAAAATACTTTTACTGTCTGAAGTTATTACACGTTTTTTTTGTCTCTAAAACTTATTGACTATTTTCGCAGTGTCTAACTAATTATTAAAAAAAAACTTAAAAGTAGCCCGTAAAAATCTTACGCAAACAAGCCCAAGCGGCTGTATGGATCTGGAGAGCCTATAGTCTAGAATAGCACAGAGGCTACTATTTAGTCCGGTCAGTGACTATGCTAAATGCTAGTTTTATATTAAATCAGCTTTAGAAAAGTTTAACCTGTTCACACCGTTTACATTCATTTGTTTTGTGTTTTGTCGGTCTGTCTTCTAGCATTTCACAATAGAACTCTACTGGACTGCCTACCCACCATGAACTTCTTGTGGAAATGGAGCCGTGACTCGAGCTCTGATGAACTTTGTCTTTTGGCAGGGATCTAACGATTTTGTCTTGTTATACATTTTGGTACTCTTAGGTGTTTGTAGAGTGCCGAAGATCTTGTAATTTCATTCCAAAGTCATTCGAACTCCTGTACAACGTAGACGGGTCTGCAGATGGACTTTAATATCTTAGTGACGTTCGTATCCAGTGTTTTTAAGTGGTTCTGGTTTAAATCGTATACCAGAAACGGCCAGTTAAGACGTGATGTTAAGCAGTTGTCGTAAACCCAAGCTTTTTTACGTTACTTATTGGCTTTTGGTCTACCTTGTCAAAGTCTTTTACGAAGTCATCGACTATTGCATTTATAGATAGAGTAAGACCTTTGTAGTCTATCTAATTTCTAAGGAATTTAAAGGGCACGGTTTCTGATATTGAAACACTTGTAATCCCGTGATCGTATGAGGTATATCTGGTATCTTGCCGGCCCAGACAAAGGCCATAGCATTTGCTAGGTTTTGTCCTCATTCCCTCCGACCAGGTACAGAAGTCATGCACCTGACGCAATAGTTCTTGGGAATACTAAGATGGATTCCGTATATTTTCCATTGACCTTAAACCATATGCAACCGCGGTAAAACAACTGTCGCTACCGGCCATGGAGCGTACTACGGCCGGTAGCGAAAGATCCACTCCGATGACTGCAGTGAGGGCCCGGCGCTGCGTCGCCCATGCGGGGCAGACCGCCAGCTTGTGCTGGGCCGAGTCCTCACTGCAGTCGCAGTGGTGGCAGGCGGGACTCAGTTCCCTCCTAGCGACCGAGTGCAGGTACTTTCCGAAGCAACCGTGCCCGGAAAGCACCTGCGTCAGGAAGGTAAGGGTCCCGTGCTGCCGCCCTGCCCACTCGGCGATAACCGGCTGGAGAGCCTCCACGGCGGCGAAGCCAGCGCGTGGAGTCTCCAGCCGGAACGACCAACGAGCCATCGTGGCTCGGCGAGCGGCTTCGCGCCACTCGCGCACGTCTTCGGGCGGAGGGCGAAATCCGCTCTCCGCCCGGGAGTCAGCCACTCGCCGATAAACTTCGGCGAGCACTTCCGCCTCCTAATCCCACGGGGGAGTTCCGGCCAACGCGCAAGCCACCTCCGTCGAAACGGTGCGGTAACCGCGTATGGCTCTGACCACCAATACCCTCTGAGGGCGCCAGAGGCGTGCCCTATTCTGGGCGGTCAGAGCCACCACCCACACCGGTGCACCGTATAGTGCCATTGACCGGACAACCCCCGTGTACAGCCGTCTTGTCGCGACGCTGGGTCCACCCAAATGGGCAAAAGTCGCCCTAGGGCAGACGCAGCGCCGACCAGCTTTGGAGCAAGCTGTCGGAAGTGCTCGTCGAAGAGCCACCTCCCGTCGAGGATCAGGCCCAGATATTTCATCTTTGCCCGAACCGGTACGAGGACCGAGTTGACCACGATTGAGGCGCCAGGGGGTGGACCACGACGGGGCCCATGAAATAAGAGAGCCTCCGTCTTATCTAGGGCCACCGTAAGCCCAGCGCCTCAATGCGCCCGACCACCAGGGAGACTCCCCTTGTGGCCAGGCGCGCCGCCTCTTGGAAGTTCGCCCCCCGGGCTGTCACCAGAGTATCATCTGCGTAACAAATTACACCCAGCCCGGGGGGGGGGGGGGGGGAAATCGGCTCGAAGGGCCCAGTCGTACCCTATGTTCCACAAGAGGGGTCCAAGAACAGACCCCTGTGGAACACCGCACGACATGGGCCGACACCTCGAATTACCATCTCGGTCCTCGTACACGACGGTACGCTCCTCTAAATAGTCCGTCAGGTACTTTGGCACCCCATGATAGTAGAGTGCTTCCCTGATGCAGCTGAATGGCAGACTATTGAATGTGTTGGCGATGTCCAATGACACCGCCAACAGCACGCCGCCACAGCTCACGGCCTCTTCGGTCACGGCCCTCAGGCGCAAAACAGCGTCGACTGTCGAACGCCCCGCCCGAAAACTAAATTGGGCGTCCGACAGATCGGGGCCCACCTCGTAGAAGCTTGTGTCGCACCTAGCCCAAGGCGTTTTCTAAATCTATGCAACAGACTGTAATTTGCCTTTCATTTTTCCTAGCATCTTCGAGACTTTCAGCAAGTAATGAGTTATGTTCCTGACATCCATGATTCCGGGCATGAACCCTTTCTGGTAATTTGTTCTGAAGTAATTATTGTTTGACATAAACTGTATAATTTTTCATTAAAGATAGGAGAAAAATATTTTAGAAATTATATTGGTAAGGGCTATCGGTCTAGTGTCGCTGGGATCTATTACTTCACTTTTATTTAAGATTGTAATCCAGGTAACTTTTTAAGAACACCAATGGATAGCCAGGGAAAATTCCTGTAACTTTTGTATTTAACGTATTTCCGAAAAATGCATCTCTCGTGTATTATTCTGCTGTTCCGGTACTTTTCTAACATCCTGAATATGGTATACCATCAGGCCTTAAATTAATTAACCACCCTGCGTATTGTCAACGACAACACTGGACTACACCACTTGCACAGGGATGTCGTTTACATTTTTTTTGGTAATCACACCACTGCCCTGATGTATAACGTGTAATTAAAAAATTCATAAGGAATTTGCAAAATATAATAATATAGAAAAGCCTTTTTAAAATATATTTTAAGTAGTTCACCTGTCCAAAACCATTTTACTAATATTAAAACTACAATAGGGAATATGCATGTATTTTTTTAAACGATTCTACCAGTTATTACATTACCAAAAATAAATATAACACATACGAAATATAAACCGTCAAGCAAAAAAATAAATATTAAAATCACTATCATTTTGGGGCAATTTGAACACGTCCATCTTGGCGCGCTTTTTTTTTGACGTCAGATTACACTTTCAGACGAATTCGATGTCAACAACGGAGTGAACTTCACAAAGTTTGTGAAAGTTAAAAAAGTGAGTGATAAAAATTAACTTATTACCATGGAAAAGCCAATAAAAACTTATTATAAATATTGTGCCGTTCCTTTATGCCCAAATAATATCAAAACTGCACCTGACAAAGTATATTCAGTCATTGTGTTGAGTCTTTCTACACGGGAATTTAATAATTTAACACTGAAAACGTATTAGTTATTAACTTAAAATGAAACAAATAATCACCAGAAACCAAATATTACAAATACACACAACTTGTTGACACTCTTGACAGTGTAGGTTGACGTCACGTTTTATTCAACCAATAGCGTTGCGTTTTAGAAATTTGCGAGGGAATCTTAAAAAAGCCAATTTTTGATGATTAAATTTCACTATTAAATTATAATAAATTTCAAAAATAATTGTATGGGTATCTTTTTTTAGCAATAAAAATTACAAATAAAAATATTTTGTCCATTTTGGTGTCACGTGCATATTCCCTATTGGTACAATACAATAATTCGTAAACATTCGTTATCAATTTTGATATCCTCAAGTAAAAAGTGAAACTTATAGGCTTTGACAGACTAAGATATACCTAGCAGAAGAATTTGCACAACAGATATCTGGAATGAAATCAGTGTCGTAATCGTAACCGATTAAAACCATCCATTCAAGCCTGCTTTTCATTTTATGGAATAGTGACAAACAAGCAGACGGGTCACCTGATGGAAAGCCACTAACGCCGCCCATGAACGCCTGCAACTCAGGAGTCACAAGCGCGTTGCCGGCCTTTGAGGAAGGAGTAAGCTCTTTTGTTAAAAGTTTGAAGGTCGTATCGGTCCGGCAATACCGCAGACGATTACTCGTTCCGTTAGTCCGAGGCAAAAAGTGTCTTGAAAAGCGCACAGGGCACTCCACGCCAATTATATAAGTGGTGGGGGTGAAAATTGCTGCCGGTATTAGTCCGAAGAATTCCTCGAAGCACTCTCCATGATATATACGACGGAGAATGCAGAGCGAAGCTACATCTCTATGCAACGCCAAGGGATCGAGCCGTTCGGAGATCTTTTGGCTATCGACGATTCGTATTTATTTATGTTACACCTGTATGGATCATGTGTACCTATCTATTTATTTATTTTATTTATCGCTTTATTATACACCATTGCAGGATTATTTGTACAGATTATACATAAATCAGAATGCTGTATAATACAGATTATACAGCAGTATGATTTATTCCATTTTACTGTCCAACAGGGCCCCAACTTCTTGTGTGCACGGCCTTGCTCGCAGAAGCCATCCAACCACTCATAACGATAATTAGAATCCAGCCATTGTTTTCCATTTCTCCTGTAATGCGCAGGGCAACCATCATGCTGGCGAATACATCAAACTGAAGCGTCTTTGAATCCCCTGTATTCGGATTGCCCTATATTAAAATTCGGATTTATCAGTACTTTTGGCACCTAATGATTAACGCTGTGGTAATTGGTCCTACCGTTTTTATTAAATTTGGTTTCATGTTTATGAAATATCTCAACAATAAAATAATGGATCTTCTAAATCTGCATTAACCATGAATCTGCAGAAATCCAACCTCTTCAAATTCGATTTATTTTAAATCAAAGTAAATAGTGATATGGGTTCTACTGTGAGAGTCTAAGTTCTAGGGCAACAATATAGGTTGTAGTTGTTGATCCAATCTAAGTCGTTGAAATATCTCGTTGTTTTTGTTATTATCGTTATCAGTGAAATACGATTTACCCAGATCACACAGTCGCCTTGACACAGAGCCGATCGCTCTAAGTCGTCGATAGGCACCGTCTAACACAATAACATCCGGCAATCGACGGCTGGGATAGCTTAGATAGATAGCTGGGCTAGATATTCAAAGGGCCCGTGTGTTTCCACACGGGCCCTTTGATGAATATTACATTGGCAGAGTTCCTAAGAAATCAAAATATTGTTGCGCCATAGCCCATAGGATTAAATGGTACCATTGTATTGAATGTTGAGACAGGATACGAGTGGTTCTGATCCTTCCAGCGCTAGATGGCGCTGCAAGTAACGTGTGACTGATTCTGGAAAATAGGATTGTGTCCACTAATAGCAAATTGCTTGGTTTATAGTTTTAAATAATAAATGAAGAGACATAGATTAGAAAAAAGCAGTCTATTTCTCATAAAAGTTAAAGATTATCGATATTGACATTGTCACGTGACAGCGATCACCAATCAGAAAGTGTTCAGTTACGTCACGCAAAACATCATTGTTGTTGTTGACGTTTTCATGCAACAGAGCAGGTTACTCCTTATTGTTTTTAGTATACTCGTATTTTCTCACCTTAATACAGTTTCAGTTGACACTGGACACAGATGTAAACAGTTTTGTTTCGCAGATTGTGACGTCATAACACTATTCAGCGTTTTCAAGGGAAATTTAATTGTTTTTTTTTTAAATACAAAATACGTAATATAAATATTGCTTTTTCTTTAAATATGTGTTTTTTGGGATAAAATAGATATTAAAGTATATAATTAACCAAGTTTTCAAATTGTGTCAACTAGCCTATTCTTGTTGGTTTGGAACGTACTATCGAATACTACGATTTTTCTAGTAAAATTCAAAAGCGCTATAAAAGCGGAGCGTGTTGGCGATTAGAGACAGTTTCGTTTTACGACACAGCGAATTAACATTGGAGTGAATTTCTAGTGCGACTTACAAGATATAGTGATTCCTAGTAGAAAGTGTTTGTAAATGCAGTGAAATAAAGTAATTAACCGACAACTTTTATTCATTATATACCCCGCTCGTAACAATATGAACATATTCCTCGTTTGGATTGTCATCTCCAACAGTATCAGATGCATAATCAAAGTCCAGTTAGCAATAGTTAGTCACGAATAGAAAACGAAACAGGCCAAAAATACAAGTCAAGTTTTTACTGGGTACTACCGGATTGTAGGCTAATTATTAATACCTGAAATCACATGGCCCGGGTTCTCCCCAGAGCAGGGCGCCTAAGGCTGGCCGTCGGAGTGGTTTTTAGTGGAATCACCACATACTCCTGGCTCCTATATCCCCAAGGAGCCGGAGATCCGAAGGGATTTTCCACTCCGTCAACAAAAAAAAAAAAAAAAAAGGCTAATTATTAATACATCCGGTCTTTCAGCTGACGTTTTTTTCAATGTATTCTGATACTATCCTAGACTATTTTACCTTGTTAGATAGCTGACAATACGAACATGTTTTAAAAAAATCTGCAAATTAACTGTCGTAGCTTTATTAAATAATAGTAAAAAAAAAATATTCAAAAATTTATCACATATAATTTATTTTCTTTTTGCTATTATACCATCTACTTCCGCCCAGTTGTATAACTACAATTTTGGTAATGGTAATTTTAAAACAATGTATCAACTAAGTGAAAATGTAGAAAAGTCCTTCAACCGTATTAACGAGACGAGATAATCTTAAAAAAACTGATTATTGGGACCTTTGACCTTGAATATCTAAACACGCTGACACATGACCATATGTGACTTTGAAGCAAGATTTGTACCATAAAAATACTACTTATCAAATAATACTATCAAAATAAAGGTTTGTACAAAAATATTCAGCTTATTCCATTAGATTCCGAGAGCAACCCCTTATTTTGACTAAGATGCATGTACTAAAAAATGTTGTGGTGATATAAACATATTATAGGTACCTAGGTAATACGTGTCGCATTACTTCCGGCACTTAAGAAAGACAATCAACAAAATGATCTGCTGGACATGCGTATACCGGACATCTGGAACCCAATCTAACATCTAATCTAACACGTTGCTTATGTTCGTTTCATCTAGAAATGTCACCACTACTATTATAATCCCTTTCTAAAAAATCATAAGCTGCGACTGCTTGTCTTGAGAAAAACTAAATTTATAAATCGGACAACAACATGAACTAGAACGGCGTATATGGGTAAGAAAAGCAATGATTGGTGAAGAACTTTATTATTCTTATAACGATGTCTTCTCAAAAAAGAAACGGTAATTTGTAGAAAATTTAACGGGTCTTCCACCTGAAGGTAGTGTCCAGCATTGTTTAAGTAGGTAATTACTGCACTCGGAAATAATGTTCGGACATCATTTAAATCGTCAGGTCTGTAAGAGAAAATATAAAATGTAAGAGAGTTAATAAACTGTGGCTTAAAAAACAAGAGATCTTTACAGTAGTCGCAAATTTTGTGTAAGATCTGACATCAACACCGAGCACGCTCATCGATGAAATCTAATAACTGTCTTTCCTCTGCCTTTCTGTAACAAACTTCCGTCCCTTTTTCAGAAATCACTTCCACAGAAGAAAGCGAGGAAAGATTGTACGCACCAAATTTATTTTATAATTGCTCAACAGACACAAAATTTATATTGCGCACAAACAAAAAATCACTTTTTCGGGACAGCTGATTAGGGTTACTGCCCCCTAAGGTTATGTTATACTGCCCAAATAACTATGCCAGCAGGCTGATGTATGTAGGTACTTGGGTCAGTTAAAAGGAAATGCTTGAGGGACAGTGACCCCTTGGGTCGTACTTATCGCGCGGCGGACTTACGGAGACTCTCCAGCCCAGCTTCCTGCAGGAAGTGGTTGAGTGCCTTTTCGCGCAGGGCGGGCGGAAAACACATCCCTCATTGGTCGGAGACAACAGGGAGAACGAGGATGAGGTTCAGCCCATCACGGATGCGGAGGCAAGGGCGGCAGTTCTACGCGTTCGCTCCAAGAACACCGCCCCCGGGATCGCCGATCTGTCGGACGCTTAATTCGGTTTTCGGGTGGGGCGTCACATCGCCAACGCATTCAATAGTCTGCCATTCAGCTGCACCAGGGAAGCACTCCGCTATTATGGGATGCCAGAGTACCTGAGGCGGCTGGTGGCGGCGGCGCTTGGCGACCAGGAGAGTCTCTCTGGTGGTCGGGCGCATTGAGGCACTGGGCTTACGGGTGGCCCTGGAAAAGACGGAGGCCCTCTTATTTTATGGTCGCGTCGTGGTCCTCCCCCTGGTGCCTCAATTGTTGTCAACTCGGGCCTCGAACCGGTTAAAGCCCAGATGAAGTATCTTGACCTGGTCCTCGACGGGAGGTGGCTCTTTGACGAGCACTTCCGACAGCTTGCTCCAAAGCTTGGCTGGGCGACTTTTGCCTAATTTGCCCCAGTGTCGCGACATGACGGCTATACACGGGGGTTGTCTGGTCAATGGCACTGTACGGTGCACCGGTGCGGGCAGCGGCTCTGACCGCCCAGAATAGGCCGCGCCTCTGGCACCCTCATAGGGTATTGGCGGTGAGAGCCATACGCGGTTGGCTGGCTTGTTGGTTGGCTTGTTGTTCGTCCCGGCTGGAGGCTCCATGTGCCGGTTTTGCCACCGTGGAGGCGCTCCAGCCGGTCATCGTTGAGTGGGCAGGGCGGCAGCACGGGAACCTTTCCTTCTGACGCAGGTCCTTACTGGGCACGGCTGCTTCGGGACCTGCAATTCCACACGGTCGCTAGGAGGGAATTGACTCTCGCCAGTCACCGCTTTGATTGCAGCGAGGACTCGGCTTAGCACACGCTGGCAATTTGCCCAGCTTGGGCGTCGTAGTGTCGAGTTCTTATTGCAATAATTGAAGAGGATCTCTCGCTACCGGCCGTCATACGCTCCATGGCCGGTAGTGACAGTTGTTTTACCGCGGTTGCATCCTGCTGCGAAGATCTGCACTCGGACCCAATGCGCCGCAGACGAACCCGACGGCGGACCAGCTTACCAGCGCCTCAGACAACCCTGAGTGTGGCCGCGGGTGGATGGGATGGGTTTTCCCCTTCACCTGCCAGCCAGCCGGCCAGCCGCGAGGAGGTGACGTACGCGTGTGCCGGACGTCGCATAAATAGAGAATGTACCCGAAGGTGGTGCCCGCGCCATTGCGGGCAGGCGGTTGGAGGGGCCTGGATGACTTAATAACGGCAGATCCCGGATCCCTACTATTACAGGCGCAGAGTGGCACACCGTGTGGGTTTAGTCGGTCCGATTCTGTCACACCACGCCACCACTAACCCCGGTGGGATGACGGCCCGAGGGGGTTTCCACACGAAAAAAAAAGGTACTTGGGACAGTTAGGTCGACCAGCCTAGCGGATTAGCTGTTGAACCTAGTACAAAGGGAGACGTGGATTACTGTCTATTCTAACCGGTCCAATTGTTAGCCTTCGTACCGTAGGTAGAGTACTTAGTACGGAAACTCCGAGGATGACTTGAACGTGTTTTATTCATAAATTACTCCTGATTATATGACAAAATTAGGCATGCAAGTTGTGGTGCTTTTAGCGAGTTCTCGATGAGTGTGATGTGTGCCATTTTAAAGTTGTCCTTCTGCTCGCTTCGTCGACACTGTCGTCGCGGTGGGACGTGCTCATGGTTTATGTTCCACAGGTCGCGGCGACGCCACAACTTCTAATCATGTTACTTTAATTTTTTTTTACGTGAACGGGCTATTTTCGAGAATAGAACAGCACTTCTCACACATTTTCTCGAAGTTTTGTCTGCCACCATAAGTGACAGCCATTTAATTGGACACTAAAAGATTGACTGGAAGAGAATGTCCGGGCATTAAGTCCGCCGATATTGTACAAAAGTGCATATAATTATGTAAATAAAAAACAAATAAAACGATCAATAGCTGCCGATCAAACAAAAATGCTTATTCTCGTACTTGCTTGCTTAAAAATCGTGGTTCTACTGTAATAATAGTTTTTGAGTAAAAAAATAACTGTAGGCATATTAAATGCATAACTTACGGAATGAATTCTGATAACTGTCCACCAAGGAACAGCGTCGGCCCTTTGTATTTTAGGTTGCCTGAAACTCTTGGAAAGGTAGTCCAATATCTATAGTCTTTTAACAATACATCTAGGTTACAAATCCAACCTATAGTGCCGTCTACTTTAATTCTAACATTGGACAAGATATCGTTCATGAGTAAATCATCTCCTACAGTCTTGTTCAACTGTTTTCTGGCTTCTATCTTAGCTGTACTTATATTTTTCACGTTTTTGAAGTTAACTGATGCCATAGATGTTAATATTTTCGGCATATATACTACAAAACTAGGCGGAGTCGATATTGGAGAAATATCCACCACCAATAACCCGGCCACTTTGCGAGGCTGAAAAAAAAACATTGGTAGCAGAAATATTGTTTTTACAAATGAGCTACTTACGAGTAAACATAGTTTTTATATCCTACTGGTCAATTTTAAGGTGTAGCGACCTTATACATTATCACAGAATTATCTTTTCGGCAGCGGCAGCCCTATGCCCGGCCATTGGCAAGAAGAGGAACACCGTGGTGGACCTTAGTCGGTAAGAGTCCGACAGACCCCTTCGCCATGCCCCAATGGGCGAAGGACATCCATGAGGACCTTCTACCCCGTTAACAAAAAAATACAGACAGACATAACAGAGAGTCATGGTTGACGTCTTGTCAAGTCGAGCACATTTTATTGCGTAGTTTGGTAATTAATATGTAATTATTTCGTGTGTCTCAATATATTCCTCATTCCGTTCGATACTGATATTGTATCATTTAATATCATCATCATCATCAACAGCCTATACTAGTCCACTGCTGGACATAGGCCTCTCCTTAGATATTAAACACATATATTAACAAACAAAATATAACTATGCACATACTTACCGCTATTAAAGCAACACACATTGCTATTCTGCCACCAATACAGTGCCCTATTAGACTGGCTTGTGTTACTTTCAACTTGTCAAGCAATTTTAGGACATCGTATGCTTGATCTACATATTTATGAGGGCAATGTGGACTGTTGCCATGGTTCCTTAGATCTACGGCTACAACTCTTCTTCCAGTCACCCTCAATATCGTTTTACCTATATCTTCCCACTGTGTTTTATTTGCCAAAATGCCATGAAAAATAAATATAGGCGGCTTCGTCGATTCTTCTGGATTTTCATAAGAGGCATAGGATAAATTTACTGCTTTTTTCTTCTTAAGAGAAGATCCGAAAGATCTTTTTATATTTTTAAAATATAATCCCGTACATCGGTTCCAATTAACTCGATACGAAAACTGTGATGAAATACGATAGCATGTCATATTAATTTTGGTGTAATATATAATATCGCATAAAATTTTGAGGTTATGATAGATCTAACTGACTGAACTAAATAGAATAGTCATAGACTAATAAATTCTGTTACACATACTGTTTTCAATATTACTGATCTCTGCTCTCATTTTGAAGGAGGAGGATATTTTTTTTAAAAGGATAATTTTCTTTTTATTTATTTTTAACATTTTAAGTTGAAAATAAATAAAATAATTTTATTCTCACGCATTTATGAGAATTAAGCTATGCAGGAAATTTGTTTGGGCATTTTTTTAACACGTGTGATGGATACTGAAAGTTATTATCACAGGTTGTTAGAAAAGTACCGGAACAGAAAAATAATTCGCTAGGCATGCATTTTTTGGGAATACGTCAAACACAAAAGTTACAGGCATTTTTCCTGGCTATCCATTAGAAACCTTGAAATTGACCTTAAAAAATAATAATTTGATATGACCTTCAGAACGCAAATTTTGACCTCTACAGGTCATATCCGATTGTGATTTTTTTCTCCCTTCCCTCCCTCCTCCCTCTCTCGCGCCTTTGGCGCCCGGTTCGCTAGCAGCGAATTGGGTTCGAGAGGAGGTCGTCCTCCCGGGCCCTCTCCGCCACCTCCTTCTGCGCGATGACGTTTTCGCAAAAGGATGCGACCGCGGTAAAAAAATTATCTCTACCGGCCATGGAGCTTATGACGGCCGGCCGCGAGAGATCCTCTTCAATAATTGCAATGAGGACTTGACGCTGCGACGCCCAAGCTGGGCAAATTGCCAGCATGTGTTGAACCGAGTCCTCACTGCAATCGCACTGGTGACAGGCGAGACTAAATTTCTTCCTAGCGACTGAGTGCAGGTACTTCCCAAACCAGCCGTGCCCAGAAAGGACTTGCGTCAGTCGGAAGGAAAGGGTCCAGTGCTGCCGCCCTGCCCACTCAACGATGACCGTCTGGAGCGCCTCCACGGTGGCAAAACGAGCACGTGACTTTAATGATGACCTGATGCTGCGAGGCCGGACAAATTGCTGAGCAGTCATATCTTAAAATAAGACTAGTAGGTAAACAACTACAAGCACGTCTGCTTGACTTGCAGGTGTAAATCTCGAGGTCTAAACTTGCCTCTGTCTTTATGCAGGTAGATAAGTAGATACACTAAACGGGTTTTACAGCAGCAATCTTCTCGCTGCTTGCCCTAAGATTACTCGTGTTTTGGGATACTATGATGTGTATGGTATTAAAGTTAGAAGTAGAATAAAAATCACAGTACGGTAAATGTTTTATTTAGTACGGAAGTGATTGCTTCTTATAAAAGGAATCATTTTCTCTAAACATGACCTAGGGTCGTCGACATACACACAATGACCAGCACTTTTAATGTATGTGATAACAGCTCGTGGAAACATTACTCGAATAATGTTCAATTCGTCAGGTCTGTGAAATGAAATACTTTCTTATTAAAACAATCACACGATGTTATACGGATACGAGAAACCTCTTTGAGTCACTGTAATCTCAATCTCCTTCAAATTCAAGACTTGTACTCCTTACACAAGCTTCCCCACTTTATCAGTTTTGCCCCAAATTTTCTTTCTCATTTTATCCCGTCTGGAAATGTAAACATTTCCAAGAAAACCAACAACCCGGAATAAAATGGGTAAAATGCGATATTTTGGGTGAAATGTTGTATATGTGTTATATAATGTATTTTCTACATTTGTGCACCAACATAGAAGGGTCTAACAAACCCTGTTCTCTGTAACGATAATTAAAATCTTTCTAATCTATGTATCTTTATAAAAGGAGAAACTGACAGACTGATTCCGAACCGCTAGGTCTAGAAGCATTAAATTTTGCACATGTTCCTTGAGCGATGTGGGTGTTATTTGTTATTTTCAAAGTGAGTAACTTGAAGTTTTTTATACCTACTTGTAATTATAAATAAATGAACACGTGGATCGGGACTTTGCAAAATTTAACCCCTAGGGGGATAAATTAGGGGTTGTTAGTTTACATACAAACTTCGTCACTATTGTAGGAAGAGGCATGAAATTTTATATTAAAAGCTTCATTAATATAGTTTAAGAACAAAGCACATAATTTAATAATTAAGCTTTTATATATATTATTTAAATTAAAAACTGACTGGCTGATTCGCTAAATGATCGATAAATAAATAGGATCAGCTAAAGTTGGTCAAAATTGATAAAATAATTTGCCATGCAAATGGAACTGAGGCCAGCCTAGGCCACCTAGGCCAGCCCAGCATAGCAGTGAGGCCAGTGTAACCAGTTACACTATAAAAATTGATAGTTCAATGTTTATTTATTTAAATCTTTATGCACAAATGTGGCAAAGGCGGACTTAATGCCGTAGGCATTTTCGACCAGTCGACCTTAGGGCGATGCAGAGCCAAACGTGGTAGATGCACAGAAATTAAAAATGTGATTTATTAAAACTATAGCATATATAAAATATCATATAACCAGAGTACTTATATAAATAACATTGGAATAATTTTAAAGATAAATTCAATAAGTAATACACATATAATACCTACTAATACACATAATACATAAATATACATACATATACATTTATATAATTAAATACACATAACATAAATGCTAAATGGAGAGAGTATAAAATTAAGATGGATTTGATAGTGTTTAAAAAATGTTGCCGTAACAGGTATTTAAATGTTTGCCGAGTTTTTGCCATCCTGATGTCGAGAGGGAGCGCGTTCCATAACATAATCCATAACATAAAATGTTCAGTGATTTATAAGATAAACTTCGTCATGTGGTAGCTGACATCAGACACCGTAGAAGATACGAACAATCAATCAAAATCATAAATAAGTATAAAAACAGAAACTGTTTTTGATGATGGTTCTTGATAGTAATCAGTTACTAACAAGAACCATCATCAAAAACAAATGAGGAAAAAATAGTACACATATTAAATATATAGGTATATCGGTATAAAACAGTTAAGAACGTTGTGCAGAACAGTTCAACAGTTAAGAAATATTCAATCAGTTTCTGCTTTTATACTTATTTATGATTTTGATTGGTTGTTCTTCTTCTAGTTCATCTTCTACGATGTCTGTCGTCGGCCGCCACGCGGACGAAGTCGCGGGCAAAAGCTAGTAATAACATACTATCGAGAAAACCTACACAGGTAACTAAGTAACTTACGGAATAAAATCTGACACCTGCCCACCAATAAATAGCGTGGGACCATCATAAACTTTTTGTTTATAACATTCAGGGAAAGTCATCCAGTGTTTAAAATGTTTGAGCAGTACATCAATGTTGCAAATCCAACCAAAAGTGCCATCTGGTTTTTGTCTTATATTCGATACAACAAGTGACATGATGGCTTCATTCGTGTTAAATTTTTTGAGCTGCAGTCTTGCTTCGGCTTTAGCTTTTGATAACACATCCGCCTTTTTAAAGTCAACGTCTTTCATGCCTTCTAACAGTTTTAGTACAGAGTTTTCATAATCTACTGGTATTGATATAGGTGACATGTCCATTACTAATAAACCAGCAACTTGTTCCGGCTGAAAACATTTTCATGAGAAAGGTGAAACCTTCTTTCGCTTCAAATATTTACAATGTTTTGGTAACTTTTAATTAAAACCAGACTTTCCCTAGGTCTATGCTAACAAAAACTAATTGTTATATTCCTTAGAAACTTTTTTCTGGATAAACGGTGCCCTATTTACTTACCTATCCTTGGCAATGAGTATGAAAAATTTGATGGACTTTATAGTAGTTCAAATACAAACAAATACTATCAACACTCTTTTATATATAAATGGCTGAGTATCTTACCGCTGTCAAGGCTACCGCCATTGCAGTCCTGCCCCCCATGCCGTAACCTACCAGAGTTGATTGTCGAGCACCCAACCTTTCGAATAAATGTAAAACATCTGCCGCTTGCTCCGTGTATTTGTGAGAGTTTGTATGTGGACTGTCACCATGATTTCTCTGATCTACGACAACTACTGTCCTTCGAGTGATATTTAATATCGTTTTGCCAATACCACTTAATTGATCCTTGTGTCCTATAACTCCATGTAACATGAAAATGGGAGGTTTCGGCTTCTCATTTGTGCCCATTCCAAGTATTTTGTATGATAAACTAACAACACCTTTGAAAGGTTTTACTATTGAATTAGCCATAACAATTTCGAAATGTAAACGAATGTTTCAGTGACAGGGTTCGCCGTGCCATATCCAAAAACAGTTTTCTTGCATTCCAATACCTTAAAACTACAAGCTCCAATAACAACCAAGTTTGATATTAAGCACTAATAAAAAAAAATCGGTTTTAATATTGATTCCTTCAAATTTCATGATGGTATTGTGAAATTTGACGCTGTATTTGACCATAGACTCTACCTGCTATGGATTGGATTGAAACAGCAGCTGTATTACGTGATAATATAACATTTATGATACTCAAACTCTTTGTTTAAAAATAACTGAGTGAATTAATACACTAGGGTTGCTGAATAAATTAGTATCGATATTCGAAAACCGAAATATTAAATAAAATAAAAAAAAACAACGAAGAATACATCTGTCTTATCTCTTGTGAGTGCTTCTTCCGTAACGAAATAATACTGGCTGTCTGGCTCGGTCAAATAGTCTAGTATAGTCTTTATCGTTTGAGAGTCATAATTGGGGCCAGGCTCGACCGGAGTGAAATTTTCTGTTAGTCCTTCTTACAGAAAATTTGTGTTAAGCAGATATTTCGTTGCTTGTCACCGAGTGAGTGAGGTTATCGGAGCCCAAACCCTTTCCTGAGGGACTGATAGGGCGACAACACCTTTGGGTTGCAGGTGCAAATGAGCGACGTTAGTTACTTACCATCAGGTGAGCTGTCTGTTCCTTTGCCTCCTATTCCATAAAAAAATCGGACAAGTGCGATTCGGACTCCTCACCGCAAGTTCCGTACAAATTTGTAATCGAAAACTATACATTGCAAAAATAATTAAATATCTGTTTAAGATTGTGCCAATGAAACCCTTTCATACGATATTTTGAATTGAGTTAACCGTGTTATGTGGCGCATGACCCGGTTAACTCCATTCAAAATTTGGACCGCCACTCCTTGCATAAAGCCACTGTTTTTTTATGAATTAATTACAAATGTATAGTTTTCAGATTTTTCCCTATACTTGTAGTATAAGACGGTATTATTTGCCAAATTTCATAGTTCTAGGACAACGGATAATACCCTTTCCTTCCTTCCTTTAATTTGATTCCCTTGAGAGTGTCGAATTATACGTTTTTTGCGGCATAAAAGGCATCTTTTTTACGTTAATTTAGAAGATTGATTTTTTCACAGCTTCAAGACACTGTAGACCTGAGCATATCGTTTTAATTTCAACTCGATCCCTCTACGCGTTCCCGAGGTAAAAGGTCTTGACAGACGGCCGGACTGACGGACGGACAATAAAGTAATCCTATAAGGGTTCCGTTTTTTCTTTTTGAGGTACGGCACCCTAAAAACACGTATAATAAATTTGAATAATGTGTTTCTTAAATAATAGAATTTATAATTAAAACATTTATACAACGAGTTAACAATATTTAGTTGAGTATCAAATATTACTTTAATCGGTCATTCTCATTGGACCCAATTTTTTAATGTCCTGGTGAATATCTCGTTACACTGCCAATTTGAGGAATCCTTGTTTTTTTGGTCTTAGTTCTAATACTTAGCCACCTAGGCACGATATGTAAACGCCTGAGGCACCAATAATTATTATTCAATATTTTTTCGACCGTCGACCATCTCTATAATGCAACCGGCAGCCTCAGCTGTGCCGTGGTTGTCAAACACAGAACACCTGTGTAAGTTGTCCCGTTGGGGAACTACGAAGGTAAGTACCTAATTTTGATTCGTGTGGCTCACCTCGACTCTAATTTTGTTTTTCGATTTGACTTTTTTTGCCATTGGCCATTTAACATTGGATTGAATCGCTGACGTCGTGAGGTCGGCATTATCTTTAAAATTAAGTAGTTAAGTAGTGGAACACCAGTTTAGCAGAACACCGGCAAGTCCGCGTCATCCAGGTCCTAGTCGTCCACACTGTGACCTGCTGCAGCCATTCTCCCGCGTGTTCATAACCTCAAATTGCCGCTGAGCTGAGGATTTTGTTTAAAGGCGAGCATTCTGCTCCTAAAAAAAGTATCCTATCATTAGGGATACAACGTGAATAAAACACAGTAAGGAACCGGATGCGAATCAACAGCAGTACAATGAGCTCGACCGACTGAAATGAAGCGATATCGCAGCCCTGAAAGTGAGCGGCGACGGCGAGCTACAACCCGGGCAGGGCACATCAATATCAATACCCACGAACACTCTCGCAAGAGTGTCCGACTAAGAAGAATTTACGTCAACTAATTATCGTCACGATAGTACTCCTTTATTTTTTTATATAGATACCACCTGTCGGTGGCATGTCGGACTCGAACCGACTAAAACCGCACGCCGTCTCGGGTACTAATAGCCGGGGAACCAGGTATACCCTAGAAAGGAAGTCCCTGGTGCCCCGACATACCTCGGGCCATCTACAACAACAGGTAGACGACCCCGTGTGGGAACCCCATGTTCCCTCTGCTCCCTGGAAGCGCGCTTCGCAACGCGCTCGCCGCCAACCCGGCCTGCTTGTCTAGCACAAGGTGACAGATGGCCTCACCTGTCACCCCCAGGCCTGCGCTTATGGAGGACGGAGGTCGTTCTGCGACCTCCGGCGCCTGAGTCGCATGCGGTACCTGGCCCGTTCCCGGGCCTGGCGGGCCGGGAGAGTCCTAAACCTCTCCCGGTCCCGCTCTGCCGTGCCCTTCGCGAGCATAACTTGCTCGACGATAGTACTCCTAAGTGATGACTAGTAGAGTACAAAATCTAATAATGTGCATTACTAAAATTAGGTTAAAAAAAACTAGTATTTTTCAAGTATCATGAAAAAAAAATGAAAGTAGAAAAATAATATTAAAAACCAGTTTTTTTTTCATAATTAAATGTATGTTTGTGTGTAAATTAAAATATAAAGTTTTATAGTAAGTAATAGCAGATTTAGAATTTAGAATTTCAAAAAATTTAAAAAGTTATTTTGAGAATGCAAATTTTGGATTTGATCAAAATATTTAAAACTAAAATCCCTATAGTTAAAATATATCATATTACGACTTGACCTGAAAAATTGTAACAATGTTTGACACGCTTGAACTGTTTAGATAGCCTCTGATGCTTATGTAATATATAAATATATGTATATTTATTATATTTCAGTAACATGGAGAAAACGCAATTTAAAGCTTACTACGGATGACAGAAACAAATTTGGAAACGATAAAGGAAGGCAGTTTTTAAGAAACTTTAGCTAAGAACAACTGGATTAAAACCCAAATTTGATCAAATTGATGTTATTGATCATTCAGCCTTATCACCAGCTTCGATAGCAATTGTGAATAAATGCATAGTCGTTCTTATGAAATAAATCTTAAGGAAGTAATTAATAAAAGTACTTATTAGAATAAATTTTGAACACTTTTAAAGGCAATTTATTAACAAGGTTGGTTAAACGTCTGTCTCTATTGTTGAAACAAATAAACAATTTTTTGTCACTAAATCTAATTCTTGTCATACCCAAAAATTTAATTAGATTAACTCTTAAAGTATTTGGTAAAATAAACCATATATATCAGAGTGTGAATTTTTTATATTTTTTCAGTTTTCCTATGTAATGTAGCCCTCAACTTATAAATAAAAAAGTCGAGACGTAAACGTAAATTAGCCTGAGAACACATCTACGTGAGAATGACCGTAATAGATTTCTCTCGACTTTCTATCAAATGTATAAGTAGAGAAACGCCTATTCCAATATCGTGAAAAGGTAACAAATACACAGATTGCTTTTGTTAACTACGTTGTAAAATAAACTGGATAGTAAACTACTTTCAATTCTCATCTTATCGTACAAGTTGATCCTAAAATTAACAGATAAAATAATGAACCCAGAGTCCCAAAGAGAGAGAACCCAAAGTCAAAGATTAGCATCTCATTTCTCCATTTCTATTGCTCATCCATGTCAATAATTGAAATACGAACGTGAGTTTATCTATTTGCCTGTCATTTCCAACCCAAAGAGTTTATGTTAATAAATTTCAGGATAGAGATAGACTCGACTTATTTTTCTTAATCATAGTAGGTATACATTTCTGTGCACAGAGCAAATACAAAGAGAAGAGGGTCTAAGCAACTGTGCACTGTGATTCTAACTAGGTCCTGACGTCATCATTGTGGGCGTGGCTTAAAGTTAGTACACTCAACGTCCGTACTGTGCACTTGTATCGCAAAATCGGAAATCTCTATATTTTCGTGGTATTAAGAAGAAAAGGATGAAATTTTGTAGTTCAGTAGTGTTAAAATTATTCGGATAGACGTTTTGTTGCTATGAAGTACATCACATTTCATTGTCAATAATTTTATACATAATTTATTAAAAACGTTCTAGAAAAATCTTGTGGTGTGTTTTTTGAAATATAGTTACATCCATTCATCACTAGATGACTAAACTTTGTGTAGTGGAAACAAAAAATACAAAGGTACGTGGGCTAGTTTTAGTAAAATAATACTGAAATTTGTTCTGCATTCAGTCCTAAATAATTTTTAATTGTCAAAATAACATATTACTTTTTTTTGTTCTGTCAATTCATCTATCGTGAACTAGAAAAACATATATAAACAGAAGAAATAGACAGGGCCGACATTGGAATCAAATTTTAATCCAATAAAGTACGAGTAGTCGGGAATCAACATTAAGTCTCAATGCTCTACTGATTGAGCAGTTTAGTTGAGTAGAGATTTTTTTTAACTTAGTGCCGCCGTTTATATTTTGAATAAAAATATGTCCGCTATGTTTGCCTGTCCGGAACACAATAGCACACTCGCAAGCGTGTAAATGGCATCCAAGCGTTTGTGAAAACTTGGAGCTTGTGGACCTTTGCCAAGCCTCGGCACGCATGAGAGAGTTATAGCTTAGTTAATTGGGAGTATTTTAAGATTTGGTTATTTTATCGTTTTCTTTTCATTACTTGTTTTTTCTCAGATTGGTGTTCAAAAGTGCATTCAGATTCCTAATTTATATTATATATATATATATATA